CAATTGTAGTTTCACTTAAAGGTTAAAGTTTAAAGTGTCAACCTAAATACTCACAACTTACTGTTCGGTTTCAACAGTCAGGGCTAAGGCTGCGCGGCATATGTAGTAGACGGTAGAAACGGTATGAAGTTGGCCTACGGTAGAAATTTACCCTCTACCGTCCTATCATCATCGCACCTATGTGAACAGGGCTGCGAGTGCAGAGACAACTGAGCAGGAGGAGTTCGAAATAAAACGAAGAAATTATAGCATTTTAAAACGTGTAAAGAGAATAAATCCTCAAATTTTCCCCCTCCCGCTGTAGAAAAGTTATGTCGGGATCATTTCCTTCCTCCCTCCCTCCATGTCGCGCAGAGCGAAGCTTTAACAACAACAGTATTTTCACACCCAAATTGTCGGAGAAAAAACTTGTTTTTATGTATTGTTACCCACCACAGAGATGATTAAAAAAAAAGACGTGGACGTTCGTTCAGTCATAAATCCATCTTGCTAATGTAAAGTCAGCTTCTGCTCTGATGATGAAGATGAGCGCACAGCGATGGAGATGAGCACGCAGCAGCTGATAAGTTCAGCAGGCAGAAGCTCATTGTATGGCAGGCGGATATTAAATCAAAAATGCTGGGTTTGATTTAGATTAGATTTCTGAAAAAAAAAGCTCTAAAAATTACATTATCTTTACTTGTTATGATAGTTTTCTACCGCGATATATACCATTACCGTGAAGGGATTCAATTTATACCGTGATATGAATTTGAGGTCGTACTGACCAGCCCTAGTCAGGGCTGGTGCTCAGTTTCCACAGCCCCACAGTTTGACCATTGCCAGATTTCTTCTAATCCCAAGCTTTGATTCTTCTTGTGCTTTTGTATAATCCGATTTCATTCAGATTAAGATTGAATATAGACCAAAAGACAGATCATCATAGATCAGGAAAACTATACAAAGGGACAAAAAGCATGATTTTGTTTGTTTTGTTTGTTTATTTATGTATGTATGTATTTATTTGTTTGTTTTTAACGATAGCTGCTCACGTATTGGTGTTTGAGTTGTTTTTGTTTCACTAAATTAGTTTCCTTCGAGTAAGGAGAAAATGGCTTTTTGGGTGCCTTTAGTATGCAGAGTTATCTGTAACAAGATTATTCCAATCCATTAATAAATTGATTCTTAATATTTTTGTTGTATGTGGGATGCAGTATGCACCAGGTATTCAAAACATTGAGMTGCAGGAAATTTCATTGACAAATCAGGAAAGGATGTTTTGACTTCATCATCTCTGCTCACAACCCTGCAATTAGCTGTGTGTGATTCAGAATGCTTTGCAAGCTGTTTGTGGTTTTAGCGAGGCAGTGACAACTTATATACACAAGCTCGATTTAGAGCTCTATGTCAACAGGAAATGATATCACCTAAGCCTCAGGCTCAAAGTCTTCTATCCTATCAACAGCCAGGTTGTCCAACTTTAGCCCTATGGGAAAGTTGTCATTGGGTTCACTTTTATAGTATATTTAGATTAACACTTTATGCTATCCGTATAAACAGAGGGACGTTTGATGGTTTTGTTTCTTTTAAAAACTACTCATCACTTCCACATGAAATTTGTGTGAGCTCTCTYGCTCTGTGACCTTCTCTTCTGTTTACTCGCTGTCGCCCACTTTCTGCCATCTGTTCAACACAATGATCTCAACTGTGAGCCTCTTAAACTTGCTGTTCAAAGGAAATTTCAGTGAGCTAACCATAAAAGCCATCCGTTTGCTTCAGCTTTTTCCCTGATTGTTTTGCCAATGATTCAGGTGGATTTCATGTGAGCTGAATACAACATTGTGGTTTTTAGCCACACATTTAATTGCTGTGTCTGGGTATTTTCAAGTGTTGCTGGTCAAACAAATTTACCAGGAAAACTCAGTTGGTGTCACACTATCAGCAGCTCTTACTCTAGCCTTTGAAGGAGTTGCCATTTGTTTCCCTTTTTTCTAACAGCAAAACAATAGTATCAGCATTCTGAAGACTCAACACAGGAAGTAAGCACGAGGACATATGGATAAAGCATAGCAACTCTTATTATAGTGATTAACCAAACAAACAGTGATTCAAGCTCAATATCTCCACTGACATTTGAATAAAAAGAAAAAAAATCATCTTTTTATTTTAGAAATAGCCTTGAAGCAAGGCATTTTTTACTTGGACTTTTTATAGGAAATGATCTGGTCCTTAGTTTTTATGTTGTGACAAAACTATTAATCTTGGATTTGAGAGCTGTAGTCACTATTAAGTTTTCCTATTAATAAAAAGAGGTGTCAACAACATTTTAGATTATATGTAAAATATTTTGTCTACTGAAAGACTAAATTAGAAATGTATTGTAATCTTAACATATTTTATTAGTCTAAAGATAAAAAGTGAACCATTTAGTGAAAAGTAGGCACAGAGAGAAATCTATATATAAAGCCCTGCCTGTGGTTTAAACCAGTAGCCTTCCAATGATGTAGATAGGTTAAAACAGGCATAAGTGGATTTCATTATAAATTTTCTTATCAATTCTGTTGTAGAGAGTTGAATACTAGGCTGTTTTAGATATCCCCACACCCATAGAGAGAGCTTTGTAGAATACCAGACAGAAAATGCATCGTTATTACTTCATCCTGTACTTTAAAATGCAGCCTGGAGTACTTGACAAGCAGTTTTTCTTAGTGAGAGTTTAACAGCATCATCTTACTGACAACTTTCTCCAAAGTTTAAATAAATTATTAGCTTGAACAATTCTGAAATCATCTGGGAAGACAAAGTTAAAGAAAGGTACTTTTTCTAAACTCATCTTTCAGTGAGCACCCATTCAGTGAGTCAGTTGTTTTGACGGTGGAGAGCAAGGGTTGTGACTAAAATTTGATTTGAAGGGGGCTTTAATCAAACACAAACGTAAGAATGTGTGAATAATTCTCAGTTTGATGACTTTATTTATCCATGTGCCAGCTGTGTCAGCCTTGAGACCTTATTGTATAGGGGAAGTCAGTTCAGTCAGAAATATCTCATTGTGAGACAAAGCATATTAGTGTTGGGGAATAGCTAAAGGGTCTTTGTTTGAAGGGGCAGGTGTTCCCCCACCTGTTGGAGCTTGTCATGTGTGCAGCCTGACACCTCAGCTGGTGAATCAACTATAAAGATGGGTACAACATTTGCCATGTACTCCAAGTTTTCTTTTTTTCTTATTTGTAAATTACATAGATGATCTGAAGTAAACCATACCGCCTTTCATATACAAAAAGTTTGAAGTGGTTTTTGTCTTTCAGCATACATGCAAAATAAACTTGATTTTCTTAAGTCTATTAATGCTTTTACTGTCAAAACAGTATACAAAATGTTTTCAATAGGGCTGTGTAACAAAGGGTTCCTAAACTTTTATCAAATATTTTCTTWTTTATGTTGTTTCCTTCTTATAATTTCTTGTTTAAATAATCTATTCTTTTTTTTTTGCTACTTTTTGTACTAAAATAGCCATTATTGCAGACATGGCATTAAACCAGCTCTATTACTTCTGCAGCTTTTAGCTTGAATCTTCTGTGACAGCATTTATGTTTATAGCGTAATGTTCTAGTTCCTTAAATAAACTTCAGATATTAGCTGTCAGTGGTATACCCAAAAAGGCAAGACCTCTTAAGGTTTTGTATGTTTTTTTAAACTTGTGCTTGGTCAGTGTAACTGCGTTTTTTTTTTTTTTTTTCCCTGTGTGTTAAAACATCACTGAAATGCTGATTTGGCTAATTTAAGTGGCTGTGCTTTTCCCCCCTCTGAGCTGAGCTGCCAAAKTGCATATAGTCATGGAAATCAAGAGATTCCTACAGGCGTCAGGTCAGGGTTATATAGGGCCAAAAAGAGAAATGTTTTTTTTTTTTTTTTTGGGACCTCATGTCTCATCTTTCTTCATGCTAGTTGCTTTTTTGCATCCAGGCATCAAGAACTGATATCAGTGCTGGCTTGCACAGACTTTTAGCACACATGCAATTAAAAAAGCTTCACATTTGTCACATTCCATATGACTACAAATAAATATCAAAAATAATGAAACAACATGTATAGTTTATACATGCTTTTATTTTTCTGTAGAAATTGGTGTTTTTTTGTCTTTTTGATAGCTATTATTTTATCTAAACTGTACTGATCGACTCAAGCTGACAGGMAAATGAGATGAATTTAAAAGTAAAATTTTTGACAGTTTAGAGCCAGAATTGTTTTGAAAAGTGTCAATCAGCCTAATCACATTGACTAAATGAAATCACACTAGAAGAGTAGTAAACGTATCAGAAATTGTCAGAGTACTAATAGTCCATCCTTAGGCTTTTGCATTGGTGCAGTGGTTCCTTACAGTATTCAGCATGCCTTTAGCAATTAATCTCAAATGTATCAAATCTTCCAAATGACTAACGATTTGATGTTTTTATGTTGGATGAATAATGTGAGTAGAGCAACTCACTTGTAGTTAAATTTTTAATCATAGTATTTGTTGTTTTTGCTTCTAACCAAAGTGATGATAATAATTATTATCTTCATTCAAGCTGAACTATCAAGTCATGTATGAGTGTGGAACAGTTTAGGTTTGAGCAGTGGTCATTTGTTCTACATTTATGTCCATGTGGTGACTGTGGTTTAGTGCCTCAGTGATCTTTGTTCTGTGCACTACACATATTTCAAGTCATTAAAATAGATGTAATGAGAATATCTCAAAAAGGGGCTTACCTGTTGATTGTATGAGGATGTCACTTACAGTCTGTAACTTTAACAGTTTTACATCTTGTTGGATTAGATGTGGTATCAGGTAGTTTGTTTTTGTCTTACATCTTATCCACACTAGTAATTGACAGATGAGTTTTTGGTTACAATTATAAAGTAAATATTTAGGTCACATTGGCAATAATTAGTTGTGGCTATTTTTAACAGCTTGTTCATCTGCCTCTTTCTAGACTTGGACATGAAGAAGGATATTGATGCACTGATAGAAGAGGAACGGGCTGAAGTCATCTCTAAATATGACAAAGTAAGCAGGTCTATTGGAGTACAATCGTGATCATTGTGGTTCTGGTTTGAACAACTATTTAAATAARTAAAATATGTTTTATCCATTGGTGTTTCAGGGCAGACAAGATGGTGTTAACATTGACCCATGGGAGGACGCCAACTATAACATCTATAAAGTCACTGACCGCTTTGGCTTCCTGCAGTAAGCTATATTAAAGTGTTTAAATTAGGGATAGGAAAAATCGTATTGCATGCAGTTAATCATCATAAAATCTGTCAACAATTAATATTTGCCACTTAGTTTACATGTCTACTAGGGCTGCAATTAATGACTATTTTTATAATCGACTAAACTGCGATTATTTTTCCAATTAGTCGATTACTCTACTTTTTATTTGTCACGTATRTCCAAGTTTCCTGTGGGCGCACTGATGGAAAACTAACAAAACTTATAGGCGATTGTCTACAGCACAAAGTGATCAGTCACTGAAAATAAAATTTATAAGACGAACAAACTAACTTTCTGAAACAATCTGCAGAGGACGGCTGCAGCCTATTAGCGTCTCATGATGTCATCATGTTTTGCTGCCACTGTCCTGCCATGGAATAACTGAGCCTGCATTTTACTTAGTTTAGTTGATTTTTTTGATCAAATATAGCCAACTTTGGAAAGTTTGTTTATTTGTTTTTTTCCTCTTTGATGCAATCGTCTCTCTGTTCCATTATTATCTCTTTGATTTGCTCACGGCTTCTTCTGTGGTTTGCAGACCACCACGTTCTTCTTCTTAACCAAACCATCTGCAGACAATAGAAACGAYTCTGCCCCCAGCAGTTYATGAATTGCATTGCYGTTACAAATGAACATTTGTGTGGGTAAATACGATGTGTCGACATTAAAATTCYGCGTCGACTTATTTTTACAATCAACATCGTCGACTATGATGACTAATTGTTGCAGYCCTCGTGTCTACATCTGTATCTGTGTGTTTCTCTCATCTTTATGCCTTTCACATTTTTTCACATCAGGAAAATTATTAAGATGACCACTAAACAAATGTTTGTACCATTAATTTTTGTGTTTTTTTGTTTTTTTTGCTCCAGTGAGGAAGAACTCCCAACACCTTCTGCACTTGAAGAAAAGGTAAAGACTGGTTTTTTTTGTTTTTCTTGGATTGTATGTTCAGATTTCACTTCTTGTATAATGCGTTTCTTTGTACTTCTGTATTTGACTTTATGTTGGTATCTCTTTCTTCTCTCCAGCAAAAACAACAGGAAATTGAACGAGTTCAAAAATGGCTGAAGATGGTGAAGAAATGGGACAAGTACAAGAACAGTGAAAAGGTTGGCATTGGCTGTCATAAAACAGAAACTTCTTCCTCCMTTTTTCCTGATCTGTTCCTTGTCTGTTATGTAATATTTTATTTTATTTTTTGTATCTAATTTGTTTTCCATTCCTAATTTAGGAATAGCTTTTTTTCCCCCTTCCCACTTCGTAGTCTGGATTGAAAACAAATGCATAAATACAAKCGACTGTACCCAAAATAGCAGCATTTATACTTGAATTCCCACATCTCTACTGTGACTGTTGTGATGAAGTGCCTTTACGTGTTTTATTTGTTTCAGTTGGTGAAACGTATATATAAAGGTATACCTCTCCAGCTGAGAGGCCAAGTTTGGGCCTTGCTTTTGGACATAGATAAAGTGAAGCAAGAAAACATGGGAAAATATGAGGTATGACTTTTTCATTGACAACAATAATTAGGGATATGTAAACATTATATCTATGTTTCGGATTCTTTCGCTGGCTAGTTTTGTGACAGTTGCAATCATTTCCATTCCCCAGAAAATGAAGCARCAAGCTCGCAATTTCTCAACGGAGATCAAGCAGATTGACCTGGATGTGAACAGAACCTTCAGGAACCACATCATGTTCATGGATCGCTTTGGAGTCATGTGAGTTCTGATGAGGAAATACGTTTTGGTGCTCGTTTCCCCAGGAACAGGAGATCCAGACTGTTCAACCATGAAAAAAAGTTAATAATCTAATGTTAAAATAAATGTCCCACAGCTGTCAGACTCAAAATCCCTTTGCTTATTTATAAATGCTTCAACTTTTGTTGGTGACCATCGAGTGCCTCATACCCACAACCTTTAACTCTCTTCATGTCTAGAAGTTCAGTGTGGACCTTACGGCTGTTAGTTTTTCTTTCAGTATTGCCTTTATGATATAGATAGAAATTCTGAGTTACCTTTAGCACCTATTGTCCTCAACAAACACAGCTTGTTTCTGGTTTGTTTTGCCAAAATTAATTTACTCAGACCATTCAAACGATGCATAAGGTGCTTTTATTTTTGTGACACCACATGTGTACAGGTTTGGCTCACGGAGGCTCCTGCAGGGCGTGACTTTTGATCTAAACTTTGAAACAGCCGCACTCGCACACAAAAGAAGAGTGGTGGTTTCCTTCTCTCAGCATTTTATTAGCCTTCCTGTCAATGCACAAAGCCCCACAGGAAATGGCATTCACTCTGAATCTGCACCATCTAAAGTTTGCATGTGTAAAATAACGCTGAAACAAACAAATATATATAACCAATTAAAAATACATTAAAACACAAATGTCTTGAACAAATATTGACTTTGCTTGGGATGGTTGTTGAAGCTACTTAGCTTATGTYTTGTGTGTGTTTCAGAGTGCTCTTTTCTTTCTCTTTGTGATGTACTTCCTCTTTGATTCAAAGCCACTGAGCCCAAACAGACCAAAACACTGCTTCATCCTGCTCGGCTGCCCTCTCCTTCCCTGCGCGTCTACAGCTGTCTTACTCACACAGAGACACTGACAGCTATTTAAAGTGCTTTTCCTGTCTCTGCCGTTGTCTATTAGAACATGGTTTTGTTATGGAAGCCTGGAGGGGAGACATCCTCTTTATATTATATTTGTTAATGCCATGCTCATACACATTTATGCAAACACAATGAGTGCCTTGTGCTCACTGTCTGAAACTGTTAAATCCCAGATGTAATCAGCTGAACGGTGCCACACTCTCCAGTTATAGAAACCAGATGAGAAATGTGATCTTTGGAAGCACAGATGATTTTAATTTCTGTGTCATAACATCTGCTTCAAGCAGAAACACAAAGTTTCTTGTAGTTGTTGTACGATCATTTTTTTTAAACTTGCATGTTTCATGCTCAGTTATCAGTTTCTTGTTTTTAATTGGTGTTTTTCCTGTTTTTCCTTCAGGCAACAAGCTCTGTTTCATGTACTGGCAGCTTACTCCGTCTACAACACGGTAAGTTTTCATATGTGTGGAAATATGTGCACATTCCTGTCGCTGTGTTGCTTAATATGAGAGTTTTGTGTACACCGGTCTTGCAAAAGAACGACATTCGCACAACAGCTACAAGTTCATCTGTTCTTTTGGTTTCTGTACAGCAGAGCGCAGGCCAGGCATTATACCCCCGCCTGTTCTCACTCTTGTTTAGAGCCTTGGGTGAGATCTTTTATTTATGAGTGGCTCAGCCTGAATGTAACAGACTATCAGCAAACCTACATTCATGTTCTCACTGTTAAACCAAGCTTCCCTTCTGTATATTTCAGATATTATTGATATGTTAATCCCAAGCATTACTTTTTTAAAATGTGAGTTATAATTTAGTTTAGTTTATTCATTTCTTTAAAAACAACATAAATTCAACAAACAACAAAAATAMAAATCATAAATTAAATGAAAGGTAGCAGTAGAAGAAAAAAAATCTTATTATATCTGCCCCTTTTTCTCAAATAAATAAATTCAATCAAAAATAATCTTTAGTTTACAAAAATATAATATAATTTGCACTTAGTGCCAATATTTTAAGTCATTTGAGTATCATCAGTCTTACTTTATTTTAATCTTATATAGACTTCAGTATTGTATTGTACTTAGAAAAAACAAAAGTTGATGTGTTTAGATTTGAAATGCCTCATATAACCACCTTAATTAGATCAGACTGTTCCAGTGTGCTWATATCAGAACAAGGGGGTCGATGAAAATCTTTTACATGTAACTTTAAAGTTGCACATAATCTGAACCTGTTGTTTTGCAGAAAAAAAAAATCACAAGCTTATTTCAACACAGGATAATTTTGAAGTCTATTACAGGAACAGAAACAATGTGGTCACCTTCTGGAAGCTTCCTATTTATGTCAGTATTCTTATGAAATGCTGTCATATTATTCATAAGTCCTGCTTCCATTTACTGTAACTCCCTCTGGTCTTTGGTTTGGATTTTTATGTTAACGGCTCTGTTTTTTGGTTTTTTGATTTTTATATATATTGTGACCAGGCCACAATAAGGGTCTTTCTTCATTTGTAAACATTCTGGCTCCTGTGCAGCTAGAAAAAAAAAAGTCATGTTGACATGTAACAAAACAATTTATTCAATAATCCAGCATGTTTCCAATTTCACCTTTTTTTTAAATCAAACTGAAGAAGTACCCAGATAGCAAAACATGAGTGAATCAGCATTGAAATATGATTAGGCATGATATTGAATGCATGTTGAAATTCTACAAAAAGTRGTCGGTGACTTACTTGTTGAACCAATGTTAGGTTTTMAWCCRTAACTGTTACTATATCAGTGTTGATTCAACATTGATTAGATGACATTTCAATCATTAGAATTCAACCATGAAGCAACAGGTTCAATWATATCTTTTCAATATTGGTTATTTGGCTAGAATTGGATGATTGCTTGATGATTGATTCACCATCAATCGTTAATCAAAAATCAGCTCTTTTTTTAACCATAATTCAACATTGAATTAACATATTTTACTATCTGGGTATTTTCAATGTAAATATTTGTTTACCAAATTTACACAGTTTTGCTTAAAAAGTGTCAGAACATTCACAAATGTGACACAACATGACCACCTACAATAAAAACTTGCTGAGCAGAATACTAACCTGCACTTATTCATCAGTTGGGATATTTTTTTAGATTCAGTTGTCTGTTCTTTAGTGGCAGAGCCAGAGGAAGTGGGCATGTGTTTCCACACTTTTTCTTCTTTTTTTTCCTCCCCTCTCCTCACACAGTGCTCAAAAGAAATTGGGTCAGTAGGAGAGTTAAAAGAGGAAAGCAGAAGGGGATGTTTGTCTTTTTCACATATGTCACGGTAGGGAGGAATGTGAAAAATGTGTTGTTTAACCTCTCTTTAACCCCAATTATATTTACCATATTTTCCTTGAAAGGATATTTTTGAATGTCCGTTTTTGTCTGCAAAGTAAATTTGCCTTAATATGGACAAATACTAAGTGCATGTGGGCTAGCCGAGGTTTCTTGTAAACCAATGAATTCTGAAGTCAGCCTGGTTTGAATTAAAGTTTAAAACATGACATTAAGGACAATATGTTTGTAGCTACTGAAAATAGATTTTTTTAAAGGTGTTTAAAATGTTGCTGCTGCCTCTCCTTGAGTACAACCACACACATCCAGTCTGATTTAAGAGCGCATTAGATGTTCAAATGCTCTCTTTTATAACTCTTAGCCCATTCTCAAATAAACTAGATTCACTTTTATTTGTCCATTTTGTTTATTTTAAGCTTTGTCATCCTCTGTTTTTACTAGGAGGTGAGTTACTGCCAGGGGATGAGTCAGATCGCTGCCATCTTGCTCATGTACATGAATGAGGAAGATGCCTTCTGGGCTTTATCTCAGCTCCTCACCGACAGCAAGCATTCCATGCACGGTGAGTCAGGGGAAGAGATGTAGACAAATCTTCAAGTCTTTAAAAGAATTCAAATTTAAAAAAGGATAAATGAAATGTGGCTTAACATCTTGCTTCAACCACCACACACTTTCTGCCTTTATTAGTGGTTTTAGTTGTTTTTTTTTCCTTTCTCTGTGTTAGGGTTTTTCATCCCAGGATTTCCCAAACTTCAACGCTTCCAGACTCACCATGAACTCATCCTGTCCAAAATGCTTCCAAAGCTGAAGAAACACCTGGTGAGTTAACAGTACTGATGCTCGAGCTCTGGAGCTCAGTTCTTAACTTAYGTTGAATAAGTTAAGTCACATGTTAAGGATGTTACTGCTGAAGTTATGAAAGATTTCTTGAAAAGTGAGATTTATAGCTAAAAACAAACTTAAGGAGCTTTTCATATGAACTGTGCCTTTATTCATTCCCACACAGGACAAGGAGCAGATGACAACAGGGATTTACTCCACCAAATGGTTTCTCCAGTGCTTCATTGACAGAGTAAAATTTTATTTCTGTCACAGTAGCAACATTACATGCCTTTTTCCTTCCTTTCTTTTTAATTTTTTTAACATACTGACTGCCCTCTTGTGTTTTGTCAGACACCTTTCACACTCACCTTACGTTTATGGGACATCTACATATTGGAAGGAGACAAGATACTAACTGCTATGGCCTACACAATCCTCAAGTTACACAAAAGTGAGTATAAAGCGGATTTAAGCAGTCTTCACATGCTGTCCTCTGAATCCCAGATGTAGCAGTGCCGGCTGTGAGTGTTACTGTGTGGATTAAACCGCACACTTCCCCTCGTTCRGCTGCATCTTTGCTGGACGGCTTACATAATACAAACAAACATGTTGCCAGGGAGAAAAATCTAGAGCTGACTTTTCGTTGGCTGCGTGGACAAACAGTGTTTGAGCTTTCGGAGCATCTCGTGCAGCTCACAGCTTGGAACTCCACACTYTCTAGTATTGAAATGAGAAATTCAGCTCCCCGGTTGGAGACCAGAACGTCTTCAGCTACGGAATTAGACCTCCAGTTGTTTTTAAATTTATTTTTTTTGAAATTGTTATGAGTTTATCTTATATTTGAATTGCYATCATTGACAAACTAGCTTTTTTTTGCACTGTCTGTAATCAGAGCGGCTGATGAAGCTTCAGTTGGAGGACCTGAGGGAGTTTCTTCAGGAGCAGCTGTCTGATTCTTACCTCTTCCTTGACGATGTGGTGATTGAACATTTACAGGCTTCAATGTCAGAGCTGCACAGTAAAAGATTGGATCAACCTCCTCCAGGTGCAGTAGGGYTCTTTCTATTGTTTTTATATAACAAGCTTCATTGCTGCATTTCTGATGAAGTTTGAAGAATATTGCTGCTTGATAATATGTAAAACCTGACATTTTTATTTATTATTTTTTATAATGATGGGAGTTCTAAAAGACAAAATGAGACAAAAATAATTTAATATAATATTGCAGTTAACTCAAACTAGATATTTCCAGTAACTGGTCGTCATACGTTTGTTTGGAGGATGGAGGATTTTGGATGTTGCAGGTTTTTATGGGAACTGTTTTATTCAAGTACTTTTACAGTGCTCCTATTGGATAAAGGTCTTTGATTCAACAGATCTAAAATATTATGATTTCATTGGGCTAATTAGTGGTGTCACTAAACTCTTTAAAAAAGCATTAAAATGTGACCATTTTATAGCTGTCCTTAAGCAGTAAAACAGAAAATTCCAATGCTTTCACAACTTTTCAAGCACTGTCAAATAAATATATCTTTCCTCTTTGTCTCTTTTTTTTAGCCAAGTCAGATGAGCTGCCAAAGAAGCCTCTGGGTCAAGAAAGACCAGTTCTCCTTGTACCATTTCAGTCCGACTCACCTGTTGAGGTCAAAATAAATCAGCAGGCTAACAACAAGCCCGTCAAAGAGACTTGTCTAACAGACGACTCCGCCCTGCAACAAACTCCTTCTTCTGCAGAGTCCCAGAATTCACAAAGCTTTTCTGAAACAAACACACTTTCATCTGACTCTGTTGTTGATCAGACACAAGGAACACCGTCCCCCCTAGGGTCTTGTATAGCACCGGCATTTCCCCCTAAAGTTAAAAAGCCTATAATTGAAGCTGGGTTGGTGAAAGATTCAAACAACTTTCTCCCAGAGGTTTGCCTARATAGAAAACAGGAGAATGAGACAAATAAGCCCCAAGAGGAGCCTAYGGATTGGCCTCCACCCTATGAGCCGTCTGCTCTGGAGGCTATTACCATGCAGACTGAGGAGGAAATCATGGACCTTCCAGACCTACCACCTCCACCCTTATTCTATCCTGAGCAGAGTGAGCAAAGGTCTCAGAACAACAAATCTCCCACCTTAAGGGCTGGGCCTGGCCCAAATATCCAACTCTGCTCTCCTTCCCCTCGTTCAGCCTCACCACTGGTCACTCGGGTCAAGGCATCCCCAAAGCCAAGTCCAAAACTAAGTCCAAAACCACGTTTAGCTATCAATGTCGCGAAGGTAAAAAGTCCTCCTCACTCCACCTGCACACCAAACTCCTCCTCCTCTCCCAGGCTTCCACCCGCAAAACCAACAAAGTTCCCAATCTCTCTCTACGTCCCCGCATCCATGGGAGACCGCCGGCCTTCCAACACCTCGCAGTACGACAACCTGTCTGAGGCTGACGACGACGATCACTTTGCGGAGAGACTGCTGGCGTCCACTCCTGAGGAACGTCCCCTCATGCACAGCACCCCGCCTTATAATGCCGACAGAAACTACGACCCTGCTTCCTACCCCGTGCCTCCACCACCTGTCTTCATTCCTCCGTCTCCTCCCTCTGTTCTCTCTGCAGTGTGCGCTCTCCCCAGCTTGCCTCGAGAGCCAGAATGCAGAGGCGAGGACAGCTGGGTGGAGGATTCCATCATTCACTCCCCTCCACCCAGTTTTGCTGACAGACTCGTTCCGTTTCAGTGTGCCACCGCCAACTGTTCAGACACACACCGAGCCGTGTCGCCCGTCTACCCGAAGAGTTTCTCCAGAGGCCCCCGAGACCGTTCTGCTTTTCCAGCACCTTTGTTGTACACGAGGTCTCCCCCTGGCCACTCCAGGTCCTCAGGACAGTCCCCAGTAGGTGTGGCCCTGGCTCAGTCCAGCCCAGACTTTTGTAGGACTCCCCCTGGTGGACAGAAGCTGCCAAAGTCTGTGACTTTTTGATACTTCTATTTAATTATGCCAATGTGATGTGGATTCTTTAATGCTGCTTTGATTTTCAAAGCCAGTAGCTCTTCGGTTTGTCTAAGGTGCTTTGTGTGCATGAGTCTAAGGACTTCATGTACATCTACTGTAGAAATATCTGTATCAGTTGCACCCCTTTGTAAGGAAAGCCATGTCAAACTAACAACTTTCTTGTTATTGGCCACAGAAAATGTAACAGTTAGACTGCCCTTGGTTATTTACGACCGCAATTAGTTTCATTTTGATTGATACTATGAAGAAACCATACCAGCTGCACAAGACGCCAGCCTTTCATTTCTAGTTCTGTTCATGTTCTTCCATCAAAGTGTATCAACGTCATCATGGCAAACCAAATGTAGCATCATAAGGGCTTTTAGGCTGCCAGATAAGAATAACTTAGCAAGGTGTAAATCTGTTTTCATGGCGTCGGGGTAAACCGTGAGCAGGATTGCAGACAACTGGGATCCCTCACTAAAGTGTTTGTGAAACTAAAAGATTTGTTTGAAGTGGTAACAATCAGCAGCAGTGAAAAATGGTGCAATAAATTACTAATGAAAATACTGACCCAAACATTATGTTGCCTTTTTAAGGTCAGTTGTTACACAGAGGTGGTAGTGGGTGAGTGTTTGAAATTTAGTTACAAAGCTCTTATCATATTGCTTTACATTTTGATAATATACTGTGTATATGTGATTGCACGGGTTAACATTAAGAAACATAAGTGGCACAGACTGTTTTAGAGAAAAAAACACATTGGTAGCTCCATTTAGTGGTAACAGTTTGACTGTTACKGAGTTTAAACTTCAAATTTAAGTTGTTTCATTAGCCTTACAGTGTTAAGGGGGAGAAAACTATTACAGATCAGGAAGCTAAACGAATTAAAACTTAATTTATTCASTCATATCTCAGAGCCATTAGTGACTTTGATGTACATTTAATTTACCTGCTTAAAGAAAACGTGTTCTTGTAAAAATGGAAGTTGAGCCATAATATCTGTAAGACTTCATGAATAGATTTATATATACAGTTATACAATATGTCAAATATCAGTATTGTCTTTTTTTTGCACTGACAATTGTCAATTTAAACAGATTTTTGCAGTTTGTTTTTCTACCTGAGTTGCAAACTGTTGCTTAAAGAAAAAAACTTTGGTCTCGCATTGCATGGACTCACAGGACGGTGCTCTCTGGACTGGACACGCTGACGTTTTGTTGTTTGATGTGACCACAAATTGTACTTCACTACTTTTGTAAGTTCGGTTGTCATCGTGGAGACTGGGRGCTCTGACCAAAGCTTATTTACATTTATGCAACTACTTGAGTTTTATAAAAGAAAAAGAAAAAACCTTTGGATGCCGCCTTTGTTTACTTTTTAATCAGACAATCTAATGCTTGTTAATGCTGTCAAACTTTTCCTACACACCCACACAGTTGTGTAGTTCTACATGATTCATATGAAGATGTGTAAAGGGGGTTTTGCATTAATCAGAGCAAACGAGGCTTTTAGAAACATTTTAATTAGGAAACTAATACTAAGCCTTACAATGATTTAAAGCTAGCACCCTGTACTGCAAATTACACAACAGCCTATATCTTGATTTTCTCAAAAAGCAAATTTGTACAAAAGTATTTAATCTTCTAGATAAGTGCTTAAAAATGCAAATTGCTTTAATAGGTTTTGCTGAAAATTCCATAGAAAAAATAACAGTACATTCATGTAACAAGACAAAATGCAAAATAAACCACCTTTAAGTCGTGTTATTTTACAACTAAATTTCTTATATTAGTGTTTTTTTACATCTTTAAGCGATTATTTCTTATAACTTAACTTTGGTGTTTGTACAGTCCATCCTTCATAAAAATAAGCCTTGAGTTTAATTACATGTTGAGAGTAACCGTGTCATTTTGCAGCAGCGGCTCCCGCACCCTTCATAACGTTCATATCCTGAGCTGACTCATGAGGTCTGAAAGAGAGCCGACGCTTTCTCGGAGTTTGGCGTCCTCCTGTCCCAGAGACACTCCGGCCAGGCGCGTGGACCCGTTTGCCCCCATAACGCAAGGCAGACTCAGGAACACCTCTGCACCTATGCCTCCCCAGCCCTACAAAAAAAAAACAAAAGTTTAAATAAAGCCGTTAAAATCCACCTAACCAGGCGAGTGTTAGAAATGAACGTGTAAATATTTGTTTTAAAACTACCTGAGCCAGTGTGGAGACGGAGTGCGGCTTCATCTTATTTGTCAAGATGCTGTTGGTGATGTCAGCAACGGAAAGGCCCACAGACCATGACCTTTGACCTCGATTCTTTATGAGCTCAAACGCTCTGCAAAGTCAGATAAAAAGCAAATCATTAAGACAGAAAACTTTTCTGAAAATGTTCTGACTCTAAATCTCACACGTTTGTTCCCGTACCTGTCTAAGAGTGGTTTGGTAGAACCGGATCCTGGTGCGATCTCAAGCGCTCCGTTGGAACTCAGCCCAACATTACTCATCACAGACACTGCAGAGGGGTGGAAAAAAAAAAATCATTCTTAATACGTCACCTACAATTCGCTTTCAYGAGCTGTTTCAACAGAAGAAACGGACAAGATTAGCTGGTGCTGCAACTTAAACAGTTCTGAACACATTTCAAGGAACACAAACGAGAGCTAAATACRGAAGCTGTAAAAATAGAAAAACACATTCTGATTACGTAACGCACAAGTAAAATTTACTCTTCTAAATGTTAGAATTCTGGAAAGAAATAAGGCTAAAAGATAAAGAGTCTTAAAACTTTTTTGTTTTTGTCTGTTAGCATATCTCTCAGGAACCACWGCATATATTGTAATKAAACTTTCAGAAAGTAAACATGAAAGGTACATCTCCAACTGATCAAACTTTGGAGTCACCCCAATTTGAAATAGTTGCCAAAGAWGATCAAACTTAGCAAACACAAATATCGGTCCATTTTACAGATTTTATGCTACATTGTGTTTGTAGTGGAGTTATTCACACAGATCTGTGCTTCAAACGTTTGAATAAGCTGTTTGAGTCGTCTCTTGTTTGTTTTTTGAAAAATGAATAAAACATTTTTAGAATTATATCTAATTTTTTTAGAGTACAAACTTTATTTCAGACTCGAGGTCCAGCTAAAAGCAAAAAGAACAAGATAAACAACCAAATACACATATCTTCAATCACTCAAAAAAATTACATAATCAATATAAAATAAAAGTATTCTTCTTAAGAATTACTTTATTCTTTTTCACATTTGCCTTTCAGGTAACCTGGTAAAAACCAGACCCTTGTCCTTCACTTTGCTTCGTACGAGGGTCTGGACTCTCGGCTATAGAGAAGTGATTCTTGCTGGAGGCGTGGCCTCTGCTGAAGYTTAAAATGATTGGATCGGTTGGCCGCGACATGTGTGTGCCAGCTGAAGGAGGCTAAGCTAAGAAGCTAACAGGAAATCACGTGCGCTGTAAACAACCCTACTGAGAGGAGAGAAGTACCGAGCCAAACGAGACAACTGTAAATGAGAGCTGCTGCTTTGTCAGACAAATTTAATTTAATTTGGAAGCCTTATCAACACAGACTGGCTTCATTCACTTCCTCCAATGCCGTATGCTAAACTAACTAGCAGACACTGCGCAGAAAATCGATGTCGTTCAAAATCCCGCCTTCTGTTCTGATTGGCCCGAATGAAATGTTCCCAAAGTAATCCTTGTCTATGGGTGAAATCCCAGATGGAGCAGAGAAGGGAAACTAGAATTGAGCGGAACGGTGAAGGAAGGCAAGGGCCAGGCTAGCTTTCAGGGCTTTAATACAGTATACAGAAGAGAATTAAGGCCACTGGGGAAAAAAATCTGACTTAAATCTCAGTTTTTTTTTTTTTATTATCTTTTTTTAATCTCAGAATTCGGACTTTTGTCTCAGAAATATGGGATTTAAGTCAGAATTCTCTCTATTTTTTCAGTGGCTCTAATCCTCTTCTGTATATTGAAGCCCAGAAAGGCAAATATGAAAAAGAATAAAGAAATTCTTAAGAATATTTTTTATTTTATATTAATTATGTAATTTCTTTTTTTCAAGAATTCTGACATCTCAAAATTCAGATTTTAATCTCAGAATTCTGAGAATAAATCAGAATTTTATTTTATTTTTTCAGTGGCTCTAATCCTCTTCCCTATAAACAACAGCGTTTGTGTAATAAATAAAACTGTTCAACTTTACACATGTAAACCGTTAAACATTTTTTGGCTCACCTTTGTTGTCGGACTGTTCTCCTATGACCCACGCAGGTTTGTGCGYATTCAGATTAATATCCAGAACGTAACTCAGACGCTCTGAGTCCAGATTGCAACCTGCTCCAATCACGTGTGTTGGAGGCAGGCCACTTTGTCTCCAGGCWACATGGGTCATGATGTCCACTGGATTAAAAAAAAACAAACAAATGGTAAATATATTTWAAAAAGAAACCTTTAAAGGAGTGTTTGCTTTTGTTACCGACCTGGTTGTGATGCAATGAGCATAACAGCAGCAGGGCTGAGATGGGCCAGTTTTGGGATTATTGTTCTGTAGAGATCCACGTTAGTCTGAACCACGCTGACGTACGACTGCTCGCCGCTCCAAGCGTTCGCCGTCACCACCACAACCCTGGAGCCTGCCGAGGCTGAGAAATCTAACAAAACGGGTGAAATATCATCAGTTTCCAAACAAAAACATGCTGTTACCATCATTATTTCTTCACAGAGGCGTCACCGATGAGTCATCATTACAGCCGCATGACGGTGCAGAAAGTGACGTACCTTTAGATACCTTCACCTTCGGCACATTGAAAATCTCCAGGTCCGTGCTGCCACCTTTGGTGGAGCTTTCAGCAACGTCAATGAAAACAAGTTTATCCACATTACACTGCAGAACAATACAGAAAAAAAAACAAGAAATGATGATTCTTCAATTAAATTTGGTAAATCGTTAAATCTTTAAAAGGGACCTGTTATGTAAAATTCACTTTTTTAAAAGTTTTTTTTTTACTAAACTTTGGGTATGTATTTATTTAAAAAGAACAGTCCTAGGACCAAAAAATGCACCCAGGGGCATATTTACTGTAAGTAAATGTATTTTTAACGTATATTAACGACAAGTTTTATACTTCCGTTATTTTGTGATGTCACAAGCCGTACGACAACCCACCGGAACCTGCGTTCAGCCCCTTAYCTAGCAACCCCCGGGTGAGGCTCCACCTCCTCAATATAAAAAGCCGTCACGGTGTTGTTGTGTAATGTGCAGCTCATTTCACAACAAGCCTCCAATAAGGCAATGGGTAGAGTGTTGGACCAGAGAGCGGGAGACCCGGGTTTGAGACCGGCACGGACACAATTTAATTATTTATTTATTTTCATTCGTTATGAACACGTTTTCTCATGTACCTCTATTGTTTAGCTTATTAAAGCCTATTTGTTCGAGTTTCTGAGGTATTTTGACCACTGCTGCTCTCTGCTCTGGTAACAGCATGCAGAGTGAGAGCAGAGGAGGGGGAGGAAAAAAAAAAGAAGCTGCGACAACGACTCTGCCTCTGGGTCTCTCATATGGTTGTACAACGGAGCTCCTGCTATTACTAGCCATGCTAACGTAAACGCTGGCTTTGGAGGGCGGAGTTAATGTCAACAGATTATTGGAGGGCGTTATCAACAGAGCTCATTAACATAAACAGCTCTTCTGAACAGAAGTCAGAGCAGGCAGAACTAGAAAATGGGAAATTTTATTATCTGAGAATTATTTTGTGCATTAAATTGAATGAACATGGTCTGGATAGCCCACAGACATACCATAAAAATTTCTAGGRCCCATAATTGGTCTCCTTTAAAATCAAGAAAGGTGATTACCTTTGATAAAATGCTCATCACGCTTGCCATTCCTAAATCTCCTCCTCCAATTACTGAGACTTTGATTGGCTGATTATCCTGAGGTCTAGTTCCACCTATAAAATAACAAAAGTTGTTMAAATCTTTTCTTACTGGTTGTCAAAATAAAAAAGCCTTATAGAGCGTGAAGCACCGTCACTGAGCTTGAGATTAGAGACAAACGCCAGGAGCTCATGGGGGTCTTTGTTGTCTGTTGCGGTTTTTGTGGCCAGCGGCGGGTCCTCCTCAAACTTGACACTCATCTCCTTCAGAAGACCAACAACCGAGGACTTGGGCTGTTCAGAGAGCAGACAAAGAATGATGACGACGCCACGGCACAGAAATGTGTCCAGTTTTATAGCTTGAAGACGGAATTTACGTAGTCCCAGGTGTGAAGTCCTGGCAGGTGGATGCGTCCTCTGGCGTCCACGTGCTTGCCCTCTCTGATGACCATGTTCGAGGTGGGTTTCAGCAGACATATGGGAGGAGTGAAGGGAAACGAGTCCAGAAGCCACAGCTGGATGGGGAAGTTGTAGGAGCGACCTTAGAGGAGGCGCTGCCGTTAAAACGTGCACTATATATTCAAGTCTGACTCCTGGGTTTGGTTATGAAGTTAAAATTTGAAAAAAAAAAAAAAATCAGTAAAAATAAAATTTGATCAGACTTACCGTCATACTTTACAGGAATGACGCCGGTTAATTTCAGGAGATCTTTCTGGCTGCTGTCGGTGAACGCTGAAATCCAGAACAACTACGGTCAGCTTTTATAAGAGATAACGTGTCTGACCGCAGCACACAGACTCACTGTATGTGCCTGTGGAGGGTCTCATCTCAGGGAAGACTCGGTGGATTTTCTGCAGCTCCTCYAAAGCCACATCATGAAACTTGTACTGAAGTAAAACAAAAATGGCAACCCATCAGTCGTGTGGGTCAAATGATTTTCCACATTTTCATTTCATTTTCTCCTACAAAGAGGTGAATCTTAATCATTAATGACATTTTCTGTCCTCTTCAGCATTAACGTGCCTAATTTCTCCGAAACAGAAAATGCCAAAAATTTATTCTATCTTACAAATAATTAAACCATGTGTATTTGTCACTATTTATTTTATTAAGTCCTACAAAAGCTACGAGAGGGTGTTTAATTTGTCAACACAATGAATAAATTATGACACAGTGTCATGTGTTGTACATTCTGAGGTTACATCAAATTTTAAAACCAGGTGGTTTGAGTGATTTGTTTTCAGTGTTGTAACAAGTAAAACCTCAAAACTAAAAAAAAAGKCTGATTTTCCTTTTCACTTTGACTGCTATGTCTTAAACTAACTGATAAAAATGTTTTAAAAAGCTCAATTTAGCAACCATTTTTCAGAAATTACATGGGCATAATAATTCATTTTCATTTTAACTCAAAACAGTTATAAACAACTCAGATAGKGTGGGCACAAATTGTTACACCAATTTTATTAGTTAAATTGATGGAGTATCAATTTACATAACAGCTATAATGTAAATTCTGACCCTCTGTGATCACAGAGGAACAAGATAAATCAGATAAACATAAACATATGGAGCTAGTTTCAACCACTTGTTAAAAATATTAGTTTTATTTCTTTTAATTGTGCTTTTTTTTGAAGTATTTTAGGTTAAGTTTCGCCCTGACACAATGAAGGAAACAAAGCTGGTTCTGCCAGTTAGTTCGGACTGGCAGTGGCTAATAGAAATTAGCCTGCGGTGCTAACCGGCTTTTAGCTGAGTTTTAATTTGTTTTCAGTTTGCTACGGTGTTAAATGACTTACCTTGGAGAGAATCCGCTGTATTTTCTCTGGCTTGAGGTCCATCTATTTAGATACGAAAAATASAAGAAAACAAACTCGTGACTTTCGTTCTACGTTTTGATTTTTCTCCACTCCAGCTCAGTAAATAAACTTCAGTTCCGCAAACTTTTTTTTTTAAGGAACCAAAGGGAAGCCGAGAACTTGACGTCACCGCCCAAGTCAGCCTCCGCCCATTTTTCCACTGTATGGAAAGTCGTTATAACCTTTAATCAAACCTCATTCTTCAAAATGTTAGAAGTGAGAAATTGGAAATAACTAAAGTACATTTGTAAATGTAAAAAAAATAATGAATTTCGAGGTCTCAATAATTTAAACTATATTTGACGGAACTAATATCTAAAAATCTTGAAGTGTCTGTTATATTTGCTTCACTCACTTTTTGTCTAAAAATATATGAAGGCTTTCTTCTATTCTTGAGGAACATTTCAAATATTGCAGTTATCTTTTTTCTTTTCTTCCTTGAGCACCTTTCTTTTAAGCATATTAGGTTTTCAAATCCACATGTTCACAAATACTTGGAATCTAAAATAAGTTGCCCATTTCATATATATATAT